CCTTCGCGTTTTCCTCTCCATTGTCCATTCTTAGCCATCGGAGCTTTGGTTCCAGATCCGCTGGTCTCTGCAGGCTTCCTTGCTTGCAATCCTATCGCTTCCACCTTTCTACATCTGTTCACCAGGGTGGCTAGGTCACAGGGGTCGTTGCCAGCTACCAGTTCCGCAATCCTAGCGGATAAACCCCTTTGAAATTTTGCTGCCAGGAAGTCTAGCATGGGCATAGTTCCTCGGTAAGTTGCCAGTCGGAGTAGTTCGTTGAATTTAGCATGATACTGATCCACCGTCATGGTTCCTTGCACGAGTCGATCAAACTCGCCTTGCTTGCTATCCCGGATTGACATCGGGAAATACTTTTCCAAGAACATTTCTTCGAACATGGCCCACGAAATTGCCACATTTTGCATCACCAAGGGTTGGGACGCATTAGCCCACCAATGATGGGCGTCTCCTTCCAACATATATACTGAGAATAGCACCTTTTGATCATCGGTGCATTGAACCACTCTGAATATTTTGTCCATGGCCTGTAGCCACTGCACAGCTACTATTGGATCGTGTCCTCCCTGAAAGGAGGGTGGCTTGTGCTTCCTAAATGTCAGCAGCAGATCTTGGAACATTTCCCCTGCATTAGTCTGCATCTGGGTAATGGTGTCCTTGTTAACGATGTCCTCTTGCCATCAAAGGTGTGCACATATGTTACATTAAAGGAGTTAGAGTGTAATTCTTGACATTTGCAATGCGAGGCCATCAAAGGTGTAACATTGCTTGACATTCAATGTATGTACTTAAGCGTGGTTAACTTAAAATTTACTAATGGGAATTAATTTCGTTCGTTCCCCTAACTTATCTATTCCTCTAGACCCTACTTATACTTATGCGCTATTTTAGGAGCTCACTTACATGATCATAATTTTAGTGTTGACTACTACCTAGTGGGTAGTTACTTAAGTGTCTTATGCGGATAATGGCTTATGTTACTTAATCTTTCCTACTAAATTCATAAGTCCATAAAAACATAAACATTCCAAAAGATAGTACTTCAAAGGCATATAAGAGGTTCAAAATAATCTAAGTGGCATAGTCTATTACAGTCATCCCAAATTAGAACTTAGGTACACCCTTAGGAAGGTGCCTATTCAAGCCACATGGGCCCAGCTAGAGCAGATATAATATAGTCTGCCTCCAAGAGTCTTCCTTCGGCCAGTAAGTTCTCAAATATCTCCGTTATTTTGGAGTCATTATCAACTGCACGTGGTTGCGCAGGTTCCTCTTCAACTCGTACCAGCCTCCTTCCCTGTCTTACCCATTTAGTCATTTTTTTCCTGAAAGTGGGTTTCCCCAAAGAGGGGTGAGATTGGGGGTCTCAGTAAGGACTCACAGTTGGAGCAACCTCCAAACCATGATGCTTACTCCTGCAATAGTCACATAATAACATGTACAATAATAGAATGGCAAAACATTGGAAACATAGTTTGGAAAATAATCATGTTTTCATATCATCATACCAATCCTGCCATGGCAATTACTCTCCATGGTCTTATGGACGAATACCCAGGGTCCTCGTCAGGTTGCCTCTGTGGTATTAGTGCACAGGCCATCTTACAAAACTTGCATGAATAAACATTAGTTCCAAACAACCAAACATATCATGTAATGCATCATATAACATATTGCAGTCAAACCTCACTTTAACATAAAGGGGTGGCAACCATAGGGTAGCCGCTTCAACAACCATAAATCACTTACACAATAGTCTTGTCTTATCACTTCCCAAGAGTTCAAGGTGGTTCTGGTCCTTTCTTGTCCCTTTGGTTCGGCCTAATAACATAACCATCCTTAGTACATAGTTCTAAAATTAAAGATCTAAACTTAATATTCCTCTTGACATAGGTTCAGCCCTTTTTGATGAAATGCCTTAGGAGATGATTTTCACTAGTTGTTCTCATGCATAGGTCCTATCCATTACGGCCATACATCATGATACTTAAGAAAACATTCACAAATTTCTTTTCTAAGCTTGTTGGGGTTCGACCATTTAGGGGTGTATACCTAGAGGACATTTTTGATAACATGTTCATGGCTTAAATGCTCATATAAAATGGTTGATCTTTAAATCAGACTTTCGACTATACTTCCCTATACATCACATTCGGCCATTTTAGGTTTAGGTTGTTTAGCCAATGTTTTGAAGATTTGGAGAGTGCATGCATATTATTTAAGTTCGGCCATGTAGAGATGGTATAAAATAGGAGATGATTTCTAGGATGATAGATGCATGCATGGCTTTATTAGTCCAAGATCTAGTCATGTAGAGTGGTTAGGGTTCATTCTACTAGCTTGAAGAGATGAGGTCTTACCTTAATGATGATGATACAACTTTATCTAATGCTTCACACGTGATCTTCAAGGAGCCTTGAGTTGAGAGTTGCTTCCAACAACCTCTTGGTCTCTTGCTACACAAAGAGAGTGGAAACTTAGGGATCCTTAGTCTACACCAAACGAAATGAGGTGAAGCATTTACCTTACCTATGTGGGTGAAGACAAGAGGGTTTGGAGAGCTTAGAATAATTTTGAGATGATCCTAGGTCCTTGAACTTGCTATGGCCGAGGCTTAGGAGTAGAGAAGGATGAAGTGTTTGAGTATTTTACTTGCTTGGTTTGTTTGGGAAAGGGATGGCCGAAGCCAAGGTGTGAGGGAGAAGGATTCTTTGTCTTGATGCTTAGTGCTTCACGGCCTTAGGGGGAGGAGGAAGCTCTTTGCTTGTTCTTTTATTCAAGCCTAGTCATCATTTCCTTGGGGTATTAGGTTTAGGGGTGCTTGAGTGTTACTTGAGAGTGTGGAGGAAGTTATTCACATGCATTGGTGGTGAGTGAGTGATGCTTGAGTGTGAGACATCTTTCCTTGTCTTTGTTGATGGAATGGCCGAACATGTAAAGGGAGGAGAGATGGTTGTTCTTTGTGACCTTTGCATGTATTACACTTGGCATTTGTTTGGTCTTGGTGAGAGGTTTGAGTGAGAGAAAAGCAATCCTTGCTTGCCTTAGTTGATGGCCGTGACATAGGGGGAAAGAGGGAAGATATTTTCCTAATTCTTTATTCAAGTCTATTCATGATGAAAGCTCATAATTCAAGGAGGGTTGAGTGTGAATTTGAACTAGGGTTTCCTTGCTTCCTTTGTTGTTTGGCCAAGGTTGAGAGGAAGTGAAGGGTTTGGTCATGTGACTCCTTGGTGACTTGTGCGCCTAGGGAGATGGAGAAAAGGTGGCTTCACCTTTTTAATCATGAATTGGGGAAGACTTGTGCGCCTAGGGAAGAGGGAAAGTGAGCCTACTTTTATGAAGGGAATCTTGGTTTATGTTCCCTTGATGTGTTACATTGGGAGATGGAAAGACTTGTGTCATGCATGGCTTGAGTGTGTAAGAAGAAAGCTTTCCTTTTCTTGTCATGTGTGCGCCCTCCAAGGTAGCTTAAGGGAAAGTAATGTTGCTTTTGGTTAAAGTAAGTCACATGCATTGGTTAGGTTTGGAGTATTTCTTACACAAACTCCTTCATCACTTTTCCTTCCTTATTTAGCGCCTAGGGGAATGTGAACACAACTTCCTTTCCTTCTCTCCTTGTCATGGCCGAAGTTATCATGTGGGGAGGTGTAATTTCATACAAATTCTTCCTATCATGTGTTGCCACCTCATCTAGGGCTTATCTTTGAATTGGATTGGGCATAGTGGTGTTTTCGGCCCAATAGTGTTGATGGAGAGGTTTGATCATTAGTAAATGGGCTTAGGCTTTGTTTGAGTGGTGTGGGCTTGGGTCTTTATGTACTTACTAATTGGGCTATTCCTTATTCAATTCATAAAATGGTCTTGCATTGCTTTGGGCTTATATCCTTTCTCACTTGATCTTAACTTATTTAGATTCTTAAGTGGGTTGGGCTATGACATTGTTTGGGCTTTAAACCACATTGGGTTAAGTTACTACTTATCTTATTTAAAATGGGTTCTAACTTATGACTAATGTTGCTTATTCAAGGCTACTCGTTCACTGAATATGGACTTGATCCCTTTTCATTTCATTTCATTAGGCTAATTTCGAGTACAAGATTTTTGGGTTATTACACATTTCATCACGAATAGAAATCATACCTCATACCAAACTAGCTGACCTCTCAGCCTCTTGCTGAGTCACTGCATATACTCGGGCAACTTGAGGTGGGAGAGGTAGAGATGGTTCCTCAACCACAATAGGAGCCGGAGTAGCATGAATAGTAGAAACATGTCCCCCACTAAAGGGGCAGTCCTTAATAAAATGTCCGGCTTGGCCACACTTATAACAGAGCCTTTGTTCTCTCCTACAAACCCTGGAATGGGCTTTTCCACATGTAGAGCATTGAGGAGCAGATTTAAAATTTCCAGGCCTTGAATTTCCCACATTTTTGAACTTGCCATCAGACTGTTTAACCTGCAAACCTTTTGCCTTAGAATTTCCAGAAGTGTTTTTAGGACCAGAATTAAGAGCAGATTGGTCTTTGTGCTTCCTTCTATAGTACTATTGAATATTTTTACACTTTTTGACGAGTGCAGCCAAAGTATCAAAAGAGTGTCCTGCAAGTTTTTCAGAAATGTTTTCATGTAGTTCTTTATGAAATTTAAACACCAGATCATCTTCAGTAGTTGGAGCTCTCTGGAAATGAGAGCATTTGGCCAATTTATTAAATTTATTTAGGCATTCATCAATAGACATCTGACCCTGCTTCAGTTCTTCAAATTCACCCTTCTTCCTTATCCGGACTTCCTCCGGAAAGTATTTCAGCAAGAATTGCCTTTCAAATAAAGGCCAGGTAATAGCATAACCCTGACATTCCAAAGGCAGACATGTATTTCTCCACCAGTCGGTTGCATCACTCTGCAGCATATAGGAAGCATACATCAATTTCTACTGATCATCACACTCTATAACAGTAAAAATGCGCTCCAACTCCTCCAACCACTGAACCGCAGCAATGGGATCAATGCCGCCTTTGTAATTTGGTGGTGCAATAGGATCAATGCACGTGTTCCCAAGGGAAGACCCCAAGCAGATCCAGAACATGTCAGAGGTGTACATCGTCAATCTCAGGGAAACCCCAAGAAGACATCAGTGTACCATACCATCAATACAGAAATCATATCAGAACAAGTCATATCATGTTATCAAATAACTCTATGTGAATGCATCTATACAAAGCATCTAAACAACAATCATACAATCCAACCATAGTTCACAAACCATAGTGGAGCACTCAAGCAGGAAAAGACTCCTTAAACATAGAGCTTACCTCTTGAAGCTTTACCAATACGCTTACTTGTTGCACAACTTACTTATATCGCTTTAACAAGATTCCACTCATTTTCAATCCCTAGGCACACCTAGAGAAGAATGCACAACAAAATCAATAAAATGATACTATGCCATGATCCTTACATAAGGCATACATTTTATCGCTTATTTTCATTTCTTTACGTTTTTGCCAATCCTATGCCATTACACAAGTCTAGACCAATTTATAATCGTTAGTGTACTTTAATTTAATCAAGTATCCACTTGAGAATTTTCTATATAAGTCATGCCATTTTACTTCAAAAGGCCGCGGACATACCCTTAGGGAATCACGGTATTTTTCACAATTTCTCAAGCCATTTCACTTCTTAACTCATCAATTAATACATTGAAATACAACACATTTTATTAAAATAAAATGTGACAAAATACTATCCCTAAACCATGATCAAACACATTCTCAAATGATTTTTTTTTTGCTTCAAAGGGCCGAAAATGCACCTATAGGGAGTCTATGGGATTTTATGTTTTCCATTGTTTATACTTGCATCCATGGTACATTACATCAATCAATATACACTACCCATTATCAAAGCAACGCTAACAACCTTTCAACATGCCTTTTTTTTCTACAAGGCTGAAAATGGTACAAAAGGGTTCTTCCAAGTTTAACTAATTAATCCATTCAACACCAACATATCTAAGGATTCATAAGCATCATTGAAACAACATTGAACACATTTCAAGCGTGCTTTTCTCTTCATGGCCGACAATAGGTTAGGAAACTCATGCAATTTTTTTCTATGCCTTTCTTGACTTCTAATTGATTTAATCAACCCACAAACATCAATATAGATATTTCATCATCAAAACATACTACCATTCATACTCTTCAACATACAAAATTCCAACAATATTTTCATGAAAACCTAAAGCTTAAATTCAAGGATTCAACAATTACAAATGGAGTTTCTTACCTTGGATAAGTCCTACACCAACCAAATGTTAATCTTCAAGCTTAAATCATAGCAAAACATCATTTTTTCTTCAGCCATGAACAGTACACGAAAATGGAAAGGAGAGGAGATCTCTTGATTCAATGCTTCCCAAAGAGAAAGGAGGCTTGGGTTTTTATCACAAGAGGTTGCACTACAATTTTTATGAAATGCACATTGTGTGGAAATAGCTTGTAGAAGAAATGAATTCCTAGCCCTGGAAGCACACGAAGGCCACGGTTCTGTCCGAGAGGAAGAAGAAGACGGGATTGTATCCTTTTTTTGTTGAAGTTTCACTTATATAGGTAGTGTTAAATTCAACTGAGTAAAGGTTTATTTATCTACACACCTCCATTCCATACCAAACTTTGCACACTAGTCCAGAATATTTTTATGGTAATATTTATAATTTTACTTTTTACTTTCGGGTAACTTTGTTTGCCCACATTTTTGCTATTTAACTGTCATTTTAACTCATTTTTCACCAAAGGTGACTTTATTTCTTTTACTTCTAATTTTTCTTGGATATTAAATCCTCAATTACTAGTAAGGGTTATTATACATTGTGCACACATACAGACCCTTTGGCAAACCCATTTATTATTCTTTTGTGCACAGTGATTCGCTTGACTCAAGATATCTCATCCATAGATACCTTGGAGATGACACCTAGATCCAATAGCAACATACTAGTCCATTGGACTAGACATCTCTGTCTCTAAGACAGAACAAGCCCATATTTTCTTTTTTCTCTCTTTTTTAACATGAACCCCACAAGAAATAGAGCCTCTCATGTGAAAAAAATGATATGATCATGTGAGAAAATCACAATCATATAACGGTAAATCAACGGTTATGATTTTTTAACTACTTATTTCAATATTTTTTCTCTTTTTTTTCTTTATTACCATTGATCTACCTTTGTATGGTTATAATTCCTCACATTACCATGTCTTTTTTTTTCACATAAGAGGATTCAGATCCAACCCTATATATTTTTATGTGTTTGTAATTATCTCTTACAATATAAGAAACATTAATTCCTTATAAAATTATAAATCATTGGTATCAGTAGTTTGAAATGGAAGCCTACAAATAGAGTAGGGAGATTGGGCTAAAATGACTATGTCTCCTTTGATTGCACGAGAAATTAGACCCAACAAAATGGGTTTGTCATGACGAGTTAGCCCGTTGAACCAAGTTGGCGGGTTGGGTTACCCACAAACCTAACTTCACCTGCCTAGTTTATGAATGGGTTAAAACGGGTTAGACATAGGTCGAGCTGGGCGAGTTCTGTTTTTTTTTTTAAAACAATGTAAAACTTGATTTACGAATTGAAATTCCTCTCACTCTCATCTCGTCTCTCTTGTTTTCCCTTGTAGAACAATTCATCCCCAAAACCAAATTGTTGTTGCCATCACCGCCCTCATCGTCTCTATTTTCTTGAAGCCATTTTATGATATTATTTACTTGATTTCTACCACATCCAATCTTACTTTCAACTTATATTTTGAGCAAAGTTTGGAAAATTCAATGAATTCTAATTTATCATTTGAACGACGAAGATGAAGTTTTGAAGACCACGGCTGAAAACACATTGATGAAGTTTGAGAAATACTAAAATGAATACAGAGTGCAACTTGCTTTTAGATTGATTGTTGACTCTCGAATGTAGTTAGAGTCATTAAAAAAAATTTATTTAGCAACTTGTTTTTCTTTATTACTTGTATCTCTCTTTGAATTAAAATGACACAATTCTATATCATATTTTTTTCAGTAAATAAAAAAAATAACATTATAGCATTTAAAAGGATAAACATCATATCTATAAAAAAGTATTATTTTAATAAAACATAACATAACGCGAACTACACTTCTCTCAAAAAAATTTCATAACAAAATTAGCAAATAGCAGGATGAATATTATCTTGAGCCTCAGCAGTCATGAATCCATATAAAAAAACAAGCACAGTTTAATAAGAAATAAACAAAAATACAGAAAATTAAGATTATTTATTTATTTATTTATTTGATACATAAGATTATTATTTTTATACCAAAAGAAAATGAGGGGGAAAAAAAATATTCGAAAGAGAAGAGGGAATAAGCAGAAAGCAAATTGGGCAGTGCAATTTGTTTCCACTTCACTCAAAAACAATGGCGAACCCATCCCTGTAATCGAAGACGAAGCCATAGCCATAGACATGTACACTACAATCCCATCCCTTTTATCTCTCAAGTTATCGTGTCATCGTTTAAACCAACAATACCCTCATTTTCCTTTTCCCACTGATACCATTGCCAACCATTCCCATCGACGAAAGTCGAAGCCTTTAGGCCAGAATTCAAACAAAACCTCATTGGGTATTTCCCCAAAGGCACCCAGAGTCACACTGGGGAAGCGTTTCTTTGTAAACGACGAAGAGGGTGGAGCTGATGCTGTCGTTGGGGGTGGACGAAGCTGAGAAGGAGGCTCTTGAGTTTCGTCTCCGCCGCGGAATGCCGTAGTCCTCGCCGTTTGAAACGCCACCGGACTCGAAATCATTCATAAGAAGAACGTGGTGGTTGTTTCGCAATGGTTGTATCGGTTCATTTGGGCGAAGAAGAACGTTTGAGTTGGACCAACGGTAAATAACTGTCTCTGCCTGTGCCTATTTATTTAATTCCCATTCCGACAAATCTTTTCACATTTTTCAACCAAGTCTCTATCTCTCTCTCTCTCTCTGAAATTCAGAGCAACGCATGCTACTAAAACTTATTGAAGAATATATCTAGAGTTTGAGTTTGTTATCTCATAAGCAACTATAGATAATAGTACAAATATAAACTTAATTTTTTTTCCCTTCCATTGTGTGTGATTAATGCTGCAAATGCATGCATGGCTGATCCAAGGTTCAATGTTCCTTTTCATGAGTCATCATTTGACGCTCCACCTTCCCCAAACTTTTTTGATTTCGATTTATCCAATACTTCACTGCCCCAATTACAAACTCATGATCAACATGATGAAGTTCAACAGGGTGGTGGTAATAATGATCATAACTATTCTGAATCGGATCCAATGATTCAAGATCACATTGTGCACGATAGTAGTTTCCCCTATGGTGGAGGACGGAACTTTGAAGCGGGTGGTTCATCATCACAAATGCATGGGGATGGGTTTCAAAGTCAGCATCATGCAAATGAGAATTTAGGAGGGGGGTCACAGAGTCAAAACAATCAAGTGCTCGCACTTGATTATTGGCCCGTGCCACCAGCCCCATTTTTTTGCAGTTGCTGTCAAGTTCTTAGAGAAATTGTTCACACTAATGGTTGGTTATACCTTTTATTAACACTGCCACCAAAATTAATCGTTTGATAGAGTTGATACCCGCCATTCTATTGTTTTGTTTTTCTTTCTCTTATTGATTTATATTTGGATGCTATGTATAGGTATTAAGTTCGAAAAGCTTGAGATTCACGGAAGGCTCGGGGTGATTAGCCATGCAATTCACCATAAGAATATCAGCAGGGGTTCTACAAGCAACCCTCAATATGAAATGATTGAGTATGTTCTAGTTCTTGCTACTACTTTTGTTTTTTGTGGTAATTTCGTTGAAGAGAGGTGCTTTTATTTGCTTGTCATTTGATGATGTCTTCAACTTCTTTAGTATTAACTTGAGAGAGAGCCCTGATGTCAAAAACAAAGTTTTATTTTAATTCTTTAGTGTAATAATAATGAACCTTTTTACATCTGAATAAAATTCTTGCATTCAAAGTTGTTAGGCGCTGGACTGTCCACTAGCATTCTCAAACTTCTTTCGTTTTCTTTTTGGGTGTTTTATCAGTTTTTGCCAGAGAAACATTGAAGAAGTGAAGCAATTCCTAATCCAGTATTGTCAGGGGCAAAGTTCAGCAGGCTACTTTATTATGCAAGATCCGATGTCTATCTATTATGATGCCCTCTGCACTGGATTGGATTGGACTGAAGATATAAATGATGACTTTGTTGATTTGAATCCATCAGGTTGGTCTTCATCTCTTTGTCATGTTTTCTTTTTCTTCGATCACCATTATTATGAGAATTTCATTCTTCAATAGAGCCTGCATTGTGTTATTTCTGTGACTCACAAAGGAAACAAGGAAAAAACAAAAAACTTTTAAATGATTGGTTTATCATCAATATTTATTTTTTCTTTTGTTCTGTTAGGGTGATATTTTTATTTATTTTCAGAATATTATGCTTAGTCTCAATCGTTATGTTTGTAGCACCAAATGCTGATGACACGGAACAAGAAGCTGACAATGAAAGGGCTCCTAAATTACCCATATCAGCACAGGTTATACTTTTTGTTTTCTTCTTTCTCTCAACTCTATTTGCTGCTTCAATCTATTATCTTTGAAATCTTAAAATTTCAGAAGTAAATGATATATAATGTAAATTCAAGAAATGTTGAGTTTTGGTCTTTTCTTTTTTTTCCTGGCAAAAAGTCTAGTTTTGACTAGTTTTCCTATTGTTGTATTGTGTTCACATTGCACAGAGGGAGAGAGCGGCTAAGATGCAATTGAGTGATGTAAGCGATTACTTTCATCTACCTATTGATGAAGCAGCTAGGCAATTGAACTTATCTACCACTGTTGTGAAGAAAATTTGCCGTAAGGCAGGATTAGCACGATGGCCTCACAGAAAGGTTCAGTGCTGCAATCTTCTTCTGTTTTGCTATTTGATTTGCTATAAATCTACCCTTTGCTGAGTTTATGTTTCATGTGTCTCTCGAACGTGCACAGATCAAAAGCGTTTGGAAGCAAATCACAATACTCACAAGAACATTATTAGAATCAGAAGATGAAGAGTCAAGGGAAAACACTCAAGCTGAAATTAACAGACTTGAACATGATATGATCCAGCATTGTGGTGGAATTGCACCAACTGCATTAAATTTGGAAAACTTGGACATATAGATTGTTATGGAAAGGAGGCTAACCTTATTCTTTTAATTAGCTTATATAGCTTTATTTTTGCAAGGTCTGTCTTTTGTAACCTATAGAAGATTGATATTAGTTAGTCCATTTTTCATCAGACTTTGTTTGTTGTTTACATTTGAGTTAGGCTTTGTGGATGGTGATGATGTGGATATTGTAATATTTTGTAACTGCTACTTTTAGACATATTTTTTGGTATTGTATTTTGTTTCATGTGCACATAAGTGGCAAGAAACCATTAGCCAGCCCATTTAAACTTTGACCATTTGTCAGTTTATTTAATAGTAAAATATGAAATTAAGTATACTTTTGTGTCAGGCGTTATTAAAAATAAAGAAATCATTGGATTTTTCTAATTTGAAGCACAGGCCACGACAATTTATCTCGTGATTGATTAAGATTAGGTGTTAGGACAGCACAACTGCTTCTGAAACATGAAACCTGAAGACTTCAGTGTTCAGAAGTTGAATCTTCCAAATTATTGAGCTCCGAGTCTCTGGAATCTCATCAATTCGGCCTCAAATGACGATTGCATCCTTCTTCATGAGGGCCTCCAAAGCTCTCGACAGTTACCCTTCTTCCCACCTTCTACTTCTCTGCACTCTCAGTTGACCTTCCACTTTCATTTTTTGGTCTTTTTGTTCCTTTCCAGTTTATGTTTTTCTTTTTTTTTTGGTGTGCTGGGCCTATGCAATATTAGTTTGGTGAGTTTGTGTATTTTCACTTCAATCTTGTATCAATCTTACAAGCCTCTTGGGGTGAGGGGTATGTTAAGGGATATACTATAAAATCATTCATTTGACTTCAATTAACAAGTTACCTTCTAGGGGAGAGTTGGTTCATGACACTTGATGAAACCTAGGAAGTTCCGACTTGCATTTACAGATATAGGATATGAAAGTATAGCCATGTGTGTAAGGATGCTTGATGAGATATTTGGATATTAACTTGGCCTAACACTTGACCCATTTTCTATTAATCAAGATCATTCAGGGAGTATCAATGCATCCCAGCAATTTGATATATATATATATATATATATATATATATATATATATATATATATAGAGAGAGAGAGGGGGGCAGGTTACGTTTACAACTTTCTTTGTTTACAACTCTTACAACTTCAACTATGTTCTCCCGGGAGTACACTACTTTGCTTTGTTTTCAGAATGTGATCCCATGACTTTTAAGAGTGTTGTCAAAGAAGAAAAATGGCGAAAAGCAATGGATGCTGAAATTGATGCAATTGAGAGGAATGATACTTGGGAGTTAACTGATCTTCCAAATGGACACAAAACTATTGGTGTAAAGTGGGTGTTCAAAACAAAATTAAAGGAAAATGGTGAAATTGACAAGCACAAAGCACGCTTGGTTGTCAAGGGGTACAAGCAACAATATGGGATTGATTATACAGAAGTTTTTTCTCCTGTTGTGAGACATGATACAATCAGGTTGGTGGTTGCATTTGCTGCACAAAATTCTTGGCCTATTTACCAGTTAGATGTCAAATCGGCATTCTTGCATGGGTACTTGGAGGAACAAATATTTATTGAACAACCTCCTGGTTATGAGAAGGTTGGAAATGAGCATAAAATTTACAAATTGAAAAAGGCACTTTAAGGACTAAAACAAGCCCCTCGAGCTTGGTATAGTCGCATTGAGTCTTATTTTCTTAAGGCTGGTTTTATAAAGTGTCCTTATGAACATACACTCTTTGTTAAGATTGGTGATGAAGGAAAAATGTTTATTGTTTGCTTATATGTAGATGATCTTATATTCACTGGAAATTGTGATGTTATGTTTGAAGAATTTAAAAAGACTATGATGAATGAGTTTGAAATTACTTATCTTGGTATGATGCATTACTTTCTTGGCATAAGTGTAGCACAATCAAGTGACGGAATTTTTATTTCTCAAAATAAATATGTGGAAGATATTCTAGACAGGTTTCAGATGAAGGATTGTAATCTTGTGCACACTCCAGTTGAATATGGCTTGAAGCTACATAAAGATCATAGAGGAAAGAAGGTTGACAGCACCTTCTACAAACAAATTATGGGAAGTTTGATGCATCTCACTGCAACAAGGCCATACATAATGTATTCTATGAGTTTAATTAGCAGGTATATGGAGAATCCTAACGAAATGCATTTGTTGGCTGCCAAGAGAATCCTTCGCTACTTGCAAGGAACAAGAAATTTCGGGATATTTTACAAGAAGGGTGTAAAATATGATTTAGTGAGATTTATTGATAGTGATTACGCAGGAGATCAAGATGACAGGAAAAGCACATCAGTTACGTTTTTATGATTGGTACAGGTGCTATTTCTTGGGCATCGAAGAAGCAACCAATTGTCACTTTGTCAAGCACAGAAGCTGAATTTGTTGCTGCTACAGCTTGTGCATGCCAAGCCATTTGGCTAAGGAGAATTCTTGAGGAGCTTCAACTCAAGCAACTCAAAGATACTCAAATTATGTGTGATAATAATCCAGCCATTAGATTATCCAAGAATCCTGTGCTACATGGAAGAAGCAAGCACATTGATGTGAGGTTTTATTTTTTAAGAGATCTTTGTAATGATGGAGCTATTGATTTAATCTACTGCAGGAGCGAAGACCAAATTGCTGATATTTTCACTAAAGCTCTCAAGATGGAGTCATTTGTGAAGTTAAGAAGATTATTAGGTGTATGTATACTTTAAACTGACTGTTAATCAGTTTAAGGGAGGGAATGTTGAAGTCTTTTTAGTTTCTTGTGTCAGTTACAATATTGAAGAGTTAATTGTCTTTTGGTTTTTCTTATGTGAGTTATGAAGTTAAATTGTTATGTTTATTAGGGATGGCTGACGTTATGACATTATGAGTAGTTAATTAGTGGTGTTATGAGGGTGTTATGAGACTTTTGATTAGCTTTGAAATGAGTCTCTTCATTGGTACTTTCAGTTTTTTATGTTGCCTATTAATAGGCTTGATGTGTTGAAGAAATATTGTATTCCCTTTTCAATATTTTTTTACGTGTCTCAATATTCTATCAAATATTGACCTTAATGAGATAACTCTATTCATCAAAAGGTATGGCAAGTTTTTCAAGAAGAAAAACCTTCAAAGAGCCAAGGGGGTTGTTGTCTAAGGCAAAAGAAAAGAGATTCTACATCATCCAATGCTCAAATTACATGTTTTGAATGTGGGAAGCAAGACCATTATATGAGTGATTGTCCTACCCTTCAAACAAAGACTAAAAGTGACAAAAGTCAAGTAAAAGAAGAAAGGGAAGAAAGCTTACATGGCTTGGGATGAAGATTCCTCAAGCTCTAGCTTTTCATCAAGTGAGGAGGAAGTCAACCTTGGCTTGATGGCTAATGAGGAAAACGAAGAAAGTGAGGTAAATTCAATTTGTTCGTCTTATGGTCTTTCCTATGATGAATTAAAAAATGCATTTAGTGAGATTCATGAAGAAGCTATGGCATGTGCTAAGAACCTTAGGTTGGATAGAAAGCATAATGATGATTTATTGAAACAAGTAGCATCACTTAGTGAACAACTTGATGACTTGAGTAATGAAAATGAAACTTTGAAAATGTTTGATGCTAGTGTTACTTGTAATGTTATAAAAACCGACCTGATTATCGAACCGGTCGGAGTGCTGGATCATTGGGTCACTGGTTCAATCAGTGGGTCACTTGGTCAACCGCATGACCTATATATATATATATATATATATATATATATATATATATATATATATATATATATATATATATACTTTTTAATTTGTAATATTAGTTATAATTTTTTATTTTAAATTAAAATAAATATGAACATATTACCATTAATAAATTAATAAATAAAAACAAAGGTGCATAGAAGAAAAAATGATACATGAAAAGATATGAAAATATAAAAGATTTTAAAATTATTAAATTTTCCTTGTGGGCTTACAAGAAGAGTGAAGTTAAATTTGGCCCATTTCGAAAAAAGATTGAAGAAGCCCAAATTTCCAAAACCCTAATATTCTCATTTCACATTTCCTTCCATTCTTAGTCAGAAAGAAGCAGTAGTCGCCTCTGATCATTTTTCGCTGGTTTTAGCCAAAACCAGAAATGTAACATCCCCGTCTCGAGCCGGTTCAATTAACATGCATATGATATAAACAGAAACAGCGAAAGACTTAACTTACGAAAATACGAGCTAACTTTTTTTTTCTTTTTTTTAAATCCTCATTCGACGTAAACGAAAATCGGACAGAGTTTCCTCTATAAATCGGACAACTGGGGATTTTCCAATCCCACTCAGAATCAATTCCTGATAAACAGTTTATACATCACATCAATCCAGAAGTACCAGTCATGCAAATATAATCAGATACCCATCCATGGGCGCATACATAACTTGGCTCAGTGCCGCTATATCTAACAGCATGCAATCCAAAACGTAAACATATCTGAATACTACATCATCATATAACATGCCTGAATACTCAAATATACATGCATCAAACTGAAGGGCATGTACAAAACATATACAGGCCATATACAAAATAAAGGATCTAACATCATGATCCATCAAATAAAAGAATACGAAATATCAGAGCAGTTTCTCTAGGAAAGCCTATGAAATAATGCATAAACTGTTCGGGTTATGATCTTCTTGAGTTTTCTTGGAGTCCTATGATATGCATGACTGATCACTGAGTGTGAGCATAGCTAACTCATTCATTTGTGTAAGATGTGCAGAATTATAGTTCGTCCAAGAAGGACTCCTGATCCTCCTATTGACCCGACAGATCCTGTTCTAGCAGATTTTGGCTAGACCACGAATAAATCAGCGGGGAAATACTTCACAGCCAGACCAATGATAACGGCCTTAACTGAAATGCAACAAAATATGGCTACAGCTAGGCAGCGAGAGCTGGAAGTGATGATGAAAGAAAATCAAGACCTGTTAAAGGCTAATAGGTTGGCCAATCAAGAAATGAT